TTTTTGTTTCATTGAGTACTTTTTCTTATTTCATTAGGTTTAATATTCATTTATTACTGGCACCGACTCCAAAAAACAATAGGTAGGTATATAAGTATAACTATTTTAAGATATTTAGATGGTTTAACTTTAATTACTTTGATATAGTTTAGAAAAATTATAGTATTAGGTAATAGGTATTAGGAATTATTTTTTAATTTTTAGTTTTTTTTTGTGTTCTCGCATTTGAAGTCGGTTTTATTTTTTTTAAAAAGTTAATTATTCTTCATTAAAAAGTTACAGAATTATTAAAATACTTATTACTACTAATTATTAATCGATGAAAACATAATATTTACCTAATGTATAAAATTGAGTATAAAAAAAACTTAAAATCAGCATCAGCATCCGCTGATGTGACACATCAATTTTTCATTAAAAAGAGGATATCAAGGGAGGTGCTCAGCAGCTGTCCTTTTGTTTAACAGCCAATCGGGACTTTCAGCCGTCCAAGAAGCTTTTTTAAACAAAAGTCCTAAAGGCAGGGTTAAAATTATTGAAAGACGGGGAGCTCAAATCAAAAACGAAAGCTAAACTTCGAGCATCCCGTAAAAAACCCGGACTTATCCATTTATTGGAGCCACTCCTGACGGATTAGTAGGCGATGATATGCTAATTGAAATTAAGTGTCCTTTAACTGGTGTAAAAAACATCTTACTAGTGCAGTACAGCAAAACAAGATACAAATTTTAAAATACGACATAAATACTTGCACCACCACAATATGTATATAAAAAAATCAAACTGGTTTTGTCAAATACAAGTATAGCTTCGCGTTACTTAAAGACGATTTTGTCTGCTCGGCATCTGGGGTGAAGAAAATGAATCCTTGCTTACAGGACGTATCGAAAGGGACGATAATTTCTGGAAGACAGAAATGTAGGCAAAGCTGGTCAAATTTTACATGAAGTGTTTATTACCGGAAATTGTGGACAGTACACATGCACGTGGAATTCCAATAAGGATATTAACCTTACAAGATGACAAGGAAAATGAAAAGTTTAATTGTGTGGATTCTCCAACGATGCCTGCAAAACAAATCGGCAAGTCTGTACAGTCCATAGCCCTGTCACCTTCTGAGACACAATCAGAATTGCAACCGGCCACCAGTTCGAGAGAAATAAATTTTGAAGAATTTTAAGATTTTTAATGTAGTACATGAATAATAATTTTGACACATTTGATTTATGTTTATATTCGATAACATTAGCGTTGTTGTATTAAAAATATACGAGTTTTGAATGAGCTCCCGGCGACGTAAGCGCACGGCTCGCTTTGCGGTAATCGCGGGCAACTCTTGGTAGCGGTCAATACCTATTTCGCTTGGCCTACACGCCCTGACCACATGCAAGTCTGAGCTCAGGTACAGAATGTTACGGTTTGATTCGGATACAGTAAGCCTTCCAGAAATATATTCGAACGATATGAAAATCGACCACGGAACTTAGAAGAATTGAGTCTCGGTTAGTTGGCTGTCAATTATGAGCCGATAAATTCTATTACTTATCAAGATGATGATGGAGATGCTAGTGCTTATGAGCAAGAAACTGAAAACCAAGGACAAATAATAAATTTTCTGAATAAAATGGGTAGAATGAAGAAACGATCACGGCCAGCAGTTCTACGAACTCGATATTACATCGCTGACTCGGACCCTTGAAGCGTACTATTACAGTTTGCTAGATACGCATAGCCCTTTCTGTAGTGAAAGTGAGCTGTTAGAGGAATACGATAATGCTAAAGATGTTTTCTTGGCGAAACGTGGTCTTTTAAGACCACTTCAATCTAGGTATGATAATGAGCTATTATCCCGTTGGGAAAACGAAATACAAGATGCCCTTCGACGACTAGCTGCTGAACAAGCTTGTTGACTTGTATGCCAATGATAGCGCCACGAATAATCAGACGTCGATATAACAACCACCATTTCATGACATTGTTATTCAGGAAGATGATTTTGAAGACAATGTGGTAGTAAACACTACATCTGATAAGAATTTCTTAAAAGGACTCGATTCCTTAAACCACGATCAAAAGCAGTTATTAGCCAAAGTAAGTGACAAATTAGGAACAAGCCAACGATAACACTAGTTGATATTTTGAACAATATCAGAGTAGGCAAACTAACCTTAGAACAACTGGCCACGTCAGAGACAAGAAATATAACTAATGAAACAAACGACGAAAACAACATGCTACCATATCGACAGCGACTCCTTTGAAAAATATTTTGGAGGGTAAAGCGGTTAAAAAATAGCGAAACTCAATAAGGTTTGCAAAGATAATAGACCAAAGAATGGTGTCAAAGAAAAAAAAGAACAACCTCAAGCAACAAAAATCCTACAAGAGAAAATTTTTACAAGAAAGTTCTTCAGAGAGTGAAGATGAAGAGCACCTTTGCAATGATGACAGCGATGACGAAATGAATGTGGATGATGAAGATCATAACAAATGTATCATTTGTGAAGAATTTGGATTAAATAACGAGTTGTGATATCGCTACACCCTCTGCGGACTGTGGGCTCATGCTATATGTTCAGGGTGGGAAGAAAAAATAATATTATAATACCAATTGTATATTTTCATACCTCTAATGATTACTTCATAAATGGGCTGGGCTATCGAAGCTGTTAGAAAAGGCGCAAAAATATTCAGATATTTTTGCGCCTTTTAACGTGCCTAGAATAACATTACGCAACAAAATCACAGGAATAAGTCCCATAGAGTGTCCAATGGGACCCAGTACCATTTTGTCGAAGGAAGAAGAAAACATTCTAGAAGATTGGATAAAAGATATGGCAAATAAACATATTCCAATAACCAAAGAGGAATTATTAGATAGTGTTCAACGTGTAATAGTTGACAAAAACCAGGAGACTCCTTTTACTAATAATAGACCAGGCAAGAAATGGTATTCCTCGTTTATGAAACGACACGCTTTTTTTTTTTTTACGACACCCTACGATTGCCGAACGTACTGCTCAAAATTCATGCACGGCAAGGGATAATGTTACTCAAAATGACGTTGAGAAATGGTTTTCGGAAGTTGAATCTGATTTGAAAGAAAGAGGACTTTTTGGAATACTAAAAAATCCTCAGAGGATTTTCAATTTCAATTTAACAGTTCTGTTTACTGGCAATGCAGCAGAAGAGCTCGCACCTACCATGGTTGTTTTTAGTTATGCAAGGATACCGTCATCAATTTCAGACACTTTTCCTGATGACTGGGCTATTGGTCGTTCGGAAAGCGGGTGGATGTGCTCAGGCACATTCTTCGAATATATGACAAATGTGTTTAGCCAATTTTTTTTTTTTTTTGGATGGACACAGGTCACATTTGACTTTGCACCTGTCTAATTTCTGCCCTGAAAATGGTATTGAGGTCATAGCACTCAATCCAAATTCAACACACATATTACAACCTATGGATTTGGCTATTTTCAGGCCTTTGAAGTCGTCATGGCGAGAAGGGGTTAAGAACTGGAAAACGCAAAATTTAGGACAAGTTCTTAAAAAACATCACTTTGCTCCAGTTTTGCAGACAGCAATCGAAAAACTTACTGTTGAGACAATCAAAAATGGATTTCGAGCTGGAGGATTGTACCCATTTGGTCCAGAATTTGTAGACATGAGTAAAATTAAATCTCAAAACAGGCAAAATGTTGATTCTACTCGCCAGAGAGAATTTTTGAGAACATTAGAGAACAAGACTGAAACTACTTTGTCTTGTGCCATACTGAAGCTTTTCAAGGATCTTTATTACAAAAGTCGCCTCGAGCTGGAAAATCTTCTGCCAAATGAAGATGAATCTCTGTACTTGATTTGGGCCAGTACTAAGCAAATTCTCGATCATGATGTAAGTAATCAAGTATTGGCACCCACTAACTCCGTTGAAACATTAAATCTCGGATCAGAAAATGATGATCAAAATAAAAACGGATCTCCAAAAGAAAATGATTCAATTGGTCTTGAATCTTATCTCACGACACAAACGATTCCGAACCAAGTGCTTCCTCACAAAATATTTGCTTAGCCAAAAAACCATCAGATATTGATACCTCAAATGCAGGCCATGAAGACTTACCAGTCATTGATGATACATTATCAAGAGAAATCGAATCTATTGCTGTCTTATCTCATAATAATAACGATTCTGAACCAGGCACTTCTCTACAAAACACTTGTTTATCTAAAGAAATTTCGGATCTTGATACTTCAAATGCAGGCCAGCAAGACTTGGCAACCACTAATAATTCTTCACCAAATAAAAACGAAGCGATTGCGGTCTTGTCTCAGAAGACGAACAATTTTGAATCAAGCACTTCAACGCTCAATACCTCAAATTGACAAATCTTTGCAAAAACGTAGTGCCAAAACACCTATGAAGATTAATAGCCCTAGCACTTCAAATTATGTTATACCATCGCCTTTCAAACGAAGCTTATTTTGGCCAGAAACGGATGAAATCACAAAAAATAAGAAACGCAAATTAAAAGAGAAAATTCCATTTTCGATTACAAGCCCTGCATGGAAAGCATACAATACTAAGAAGGAAGAAGAGAAAAGAAAAGAAATAGAAGAGAAGGCATTGCGAGCCAAAAAACGAGAAGAAAATAAAATGAAGAAACTTAATGAGAAGAAAAAAGTTTCAAATAAACGAAAAATCAGAGTTGAATCATCTGAAACTGAGGATGAAGTCATTTACGCTGAAAGTGACGACAGTGTCTTGACTGAAGGATCGGAATCGAACGATGCACCATTAGGTACAATTTTTTCGTTCCAGAAAAAACTATCAAAGGGAAATTACGTGATAGTTTTATATGAAGGACAACATATTCCTGGAGTTATTGAAAATTCAAATAAAAATGAGTTCGAAGTAAGCACGATGACCTTTTCAACAGGAAACACCTATAAATGGCCAGATAAACCTGATAAGATGTGGTACCAAAAAAAAGATATCGTGGAGCAGATTTGTCCGCCAAGTTTGATTAACAAAAGAGGTTTTTATGCTGTTAAGGAAATGAAAAAATACTCTGTTTTTACTTCTTAATTGGACCGTGTTGTGCCAAATCATACCAATCCACATCAACCTTATTCTGAGATATTTAAGTTTTAAGTTTGACATGAGATAACTATTGTTTTTTATTTAAATAACTCTCCAAAATATATATCAGTATGAAGATATGGAAGTTCTGTTTTAGATTAAGATACAAACAATCAATATTTAAAGTAAAAAAAAAAGAAAAGTGTATTTTCTCACTTGGTATATTTTGACATAATAGGATTTCTCATACTAATGACAATTAATAAATAAGTCCAAAATGTACCAATAACATTTTCTTTTGTATCTATTTTTTTTTTC